AGGTAGGCATAACTTTTTATTTAGTTAACCCGCGCACCGACGGGGGGCGGATATCCGCCCCCCCCCCCTGAGGTTTTTCGCGGATAGCGGGAAAACTGCGTACGACTATTCTCTCATCAATTTTACACATGGTGTGCAAGTTTGAACCTCCTAACTTTAAAGGTCAGGTCACCAGGTCACTTTGAATGACCCAACCTCAAGTCACTTTTTTGCAACTTTGTCACCGTGCCAGAGCTACAGTAGATGTCGGAGGCTTTGAAAGTCGCAGGATGTTATTAGGTCATTAGTAGCTACAATTTGTATATCTCGGAATTTTGATATCGGTGACCTAAGGTCAGGTCAATTTCGCGACCTCCCCATTAGGGGAGAGCGGGGCCAGTTGAAACACGGGGTCAGATGAAACATGGCTTTATTTTCAACAGTATGCAACATATGGCGTTGCCGACACCACTGCGCATCCGCGCTCGACCACTTCCTTTGTCAACGGCGTTTGGGCGGCAAACGGACGGTTATTTTGATTTGACACTTGTTTTTGTGTTTTTGAGGGGCGTTTTGGAGAAATCGTTTTTATGAATATTTTGTGATATCTCATATACCTTTGTTTGCTGAAAGAAGAACTCCTGGCTCCGGAATAACACCTTATTTGGCCCTTCATTCAGCATGATGCCGTCCCTCCAGCTCGTTTGACATGTGCTTTACGGCGCGTGCGAGATGGCGGGAGCGGATGGGGTCAATTGAAACGCTTCTCTGAGGGTCAGTTGAAACAGGGCCACAGGCCGTTTCAATGGACCCCGGTGACCTTTGCAATGGTTATTGTTCAGGGGCTGTAAACATTAAAGGAAATAGTCCACCTTTGAAATGAGCTTTTAAACTGAAATAGTAGTTTAATAGAGCTCAATTTTTGACCCCTTTTTCTCCAGCCTTTTGCTTGAAAGCACACTATAGCCTGAGATATTTCTCATTTTCCTCATCCGCCCATTTTACCATAGTCTATGTACTTTGTCACCTATTATGAGGAACTTTGCACTTTTAGCTTTCCAACGACTTATTGAATGTAGCATTTGGAAAAGTAAACCGGACAAAATATCTCCTTAAGAAAGTGGCCTTAAAGAGGAAAACATCCCATTGTTAAGGATAGGTGCAATTGACCCCATGGGCTGGTTCAATTGACCCTCGCATCGGGGTCATTTGAAACGGGCGTAGAGCTGTTTTATAAGCATGCGTTTGGCAGCAAAATATGTTTGAAACATAATTTTACATATCTTAAAATAAAGCCAAAAGAGCATATTTTTTCATGGCATTGTGCATTTTTCGATGACAACTAGCTCTCGCTGTGCATGTCAATATATAAAAAGTGGTTCAACTGGCCCCGCTCTCCCCTATAAGTCAATGGGGGAAAAATCAACTCCCTGTTTTTACCCCTAAAACGGGTCGGAATGGCCCCATATACCATACATGACTTCATATACGATCAACCTTCACTGCCTTGAGGTCTGTTTTGCTGTTGGGCAGCTGTAAGGTCATGTGACGTCATCAAAGGTCACCAGCGGTTTTTTTGCCAATAACTCCGTACAGGAACAAGATACAGACGCGCGGATGGTCTCATTGTGTTCAGCTCGTCAAGACACATCGAATGATATACATGATGACCTCGAGGTCACGTGACCTGAGGTCAACCTTTGACCTTGACCTTTCGAGGTCAACATACATATCATTCGATGCGGATTGACGAGAGGATCACGATGATGCCCTTAGTTTGTTCCTATCTTGACTAATTCGAAAGTTATTCGAGAAAAACTCTCCATATCTAGCGCCGCCATTTTGACTTTTTCGACCCCTGTGACGTCATCTTTGACCTGACCCGAAAATGACCTTAGTAAAAATTGTAGACCTTGTCCGTGCGTATCCGATGCCGTTTACCGCTTGTCGCTATCTTGCTTCGTTCTCGATATCTCAGGGGGGGCGGTCATCCGCCCCCCCCCGTCGGTGCGAAGTTGGCGCAGACCCCCGTCGGTGCGCGGGTTAACCCTCGCATGTGTGCGGCGTTTTCCAGCTTCTAATGTGTAGGGGGGGGGGGGTCGGTTGGACCCCCCCCCTTGCCGTTTGGCCCCTGATCGAGCTAGAGCTTCGCGGAAAAAACGAGCGTGTTGCCCGTGACGAGAGGAAGCCGATGATACCCAATTTTAAGGTCCTAGGTCATTGGTTGACCTTCCAGGTCAGGTCAATGACCCAAAGTCGGGAAAATCGGGACCTGTTAGAAAGTCGTAAAGTGTGGCTGCTAAGGGGTTTTTCGGGGTGCTGATCACGAATATCGTGTTAGTTTTGATCACAGATGATGTCTTGAAGCATTTAGACCAGGTCGGGTCAGGTCAGGTCAGGTCAACCAGTAGGCGTCGTGACGGGTATTCGTAGTACGTGTCAACCGCCTCTGACAGCTTCGTAACATGTTACGAAGTCACCAAAACTACTTCGTAAATGTTCAAATGGTTGCTAAATTCGAATTCAGCTCCAAAAACTAGCCTAGAAACATGTAAAACTCGAAAAAGTGAACCGAGGTCACCCGAGGTCACCAAAGGTCAATGACCTGACCTGACCTTCAGGTGACCTTGACACACACGGGAGTAACATCAAATCACATGTTTGAACGTTTGAAACCACGAAAAGCTTGCAAACACGCGGCTAGTGCGAGCCGACATACGCGAAATCGCGATTCCGGCCAAACATGGTCTCGGAAAAGAGGTCACAGGTCAAAGGTCATTTGGGTCAGGGTCATGAAATTTTCAGGGTAGGTGTAAAATTGATCAATGCGAGGGTACTGAAAGTTTCGTCGCGATCGGCCGCTTTTTACGCGAGTTATTCGCGAAAAACCATGGGGGGGGGTCCATCCGACCCCCCCCCCCCCTACACATGCGAGGGTTAAGATAGAGCAAAAATAAAAGCACCGGTGAACTCAGCACGTCACTACGCATCGAATGATACACCTTCTTTGCTAGCAATTAAAGTGAACTTACAATCTTATTTAAGGTTAATTAATCTTAAAGTAATAAATTAAATTCATGCTCATGGAAGTGCATCCAGCATCATATCGCATATCATTCGAGTCGCCTGATCACAAGGAACACAATGATACCATTTTCGAAGCTCTAGCCTCTTTGTGTGTCAAGTTATCAGCAAAAAACGTGGTTTGACCTTAGTTGACCTCAATTGACCCGACCTTATCGTTCTTGCAGCTTGCAAACACCAGTTAGATGTACCTAAATCAAGGAAGTACAACACGAAAACGTTGAAATGGAGCACAAACCTCTCAGCTTTACACATTTAGACCCATTCGGGCAAATTTTCTTAAAATTTGTCATGACATCTAGATGGCCTCAGGTCAACCGTGAACCGAATTTGAAAAAAAAAACTGTGATGCAATACGATGGCACTCGGTGGGCTAAGCATATCTTGCCAGTTTGAATCAAATCAATGAAGGACTCTAGTTTTCTCGAACAAAATAGTGCATCTTATGTGCCATTTTAACAATGTACCAGTTATTGTGACTTTGTGACCTGACCTGCAGTCTTTGGAACTCAAAACTCCCCCGGTCATGTGACACATAGATGTCCCAAGTCGTGTCTGGAATTTGGTAGCGACTAGCGCTACGTGCAATTGCACCCACGCTATGGACAAAAAAATGTCATTCCGTTGCCGATAACTAGTCCAATTTTCTCCTGACCCTGTATCGGTTTTTGTGCCCTGATCAGTAGCGGCGGAACACCTTCAATTAAGGGGGGGGGGGGAGGGGGCACTGCCGACTTTTGGTCCCATTCCTTCCATGCAACGGCGCAACGCCTATAGAGCTAATGTAAATAGGTATGCCAAAATCAAAGGGGGGGGGGCACGGTGCCCCGGTGCCCTGCCCGTTCCGCCGCCTATGGACCTGGTGACCTGACCTCTAAAGACTGAAACCTTAAATTTTATGGATATGTGCCAAAAGGCCGCCCCAGAGGATACGCGAAATTTTGTAGCGCCGCCGATTTACGTTATTTGCGAAAAACCTTAGGGGAGGGGGTGCATCCACCCCCCCCCCCTCGCCGGGCCTAGGTTCAATTGAACCGTCTCGACGACGGACGAGAGATCAAGATGCCGGTAAAATCGACGTCTTTCGACTTTTGTGCCATAAATCATTGCTATAAGTCATTGCACGGGTTACGATCGGATCATTGCCTTGGTGCCGGGCTCCAATCGGATGCCACTGGCTGTCTCATGGAGAGCAGCACGGTCGTCTTTTCCTCCCTAGAAGCAAAATGCAGATGGCTCAGCTGTACATCTCCCCGTATGCCGTCGGCCTCCGGCGGCACAAGGGCATCATCGCATCATCCGACGGTCGAAGGATGCAGAATGCCCAACACCCGGCGCGGGTTATAAGGTCAGTTGATCTCGTGCGTCTGCTGACTCAGTTTGAGTGTATGTTTGAGCTGCGGATGCGGGGTCGGACTCCACTGTGACAGATACCGGGTGAGCAAGGAGCGGGGAGCACGGCCCGGAGTCGGCGGTGACTCCCCGTCTGGTACCGCCGTGCCGGGCCGGTATCCCCCTCCTCCGGCCAGGATAATCAGACGGCCCCCGCCGAACGGAGCCCTCAGCGGACACCGACAGCGGGGGCGCAGCCGATGGCCCCACACCGCTGCTGGGTTATTCATGACTACGAATGCCAGTGGTGGCAGAGGTCACTAGTCCTGAGCCCAAGGTCGGTGCCGACAAGTCTCGTTAGAAAATCAAGCAGGGACTCCGCGCCACAGTTGCGACGAGGGGAGGGCGAGTACAATTCGAAACGTTTTCTTTCAATGCATCGCAAATGCTCATAAGCGTATTGGTGACACGGAATAAAAACGTACTAACTGCTAACAACGTGCTGGGCTACGTGTGATAAAATAAAAAAGCAATCAACAACATCAACATCCTCAATTTTCACTGGTAAGCAGCATAACCTCACCACCTTGAACGAGACACGGATATAATACATGACAAATATATTGCAGTCACTAAAACGATAACATCCAAAATAGTCTACACAATACATGGCATGCTTTCCATCACAGATAAATGCCGACATAATCATGTACTAAACACCTACGAAAACTGAGCCCATAATCGCAATGTTCTGCCGATGCATAATATGTGAAATAAGCGGTGACGAAATGCTGTCCAAGGCCGCCTCCACCAGCGGCTGGGACGATCATTGAGACACCCAGTGAGCGAACACAGTGAGAGTGGCCCGCGGTTCATCGAGACAAACAGAGCCCGGTGAGCAGAGACACCAAGTGAACGGGCACACAGGCTGACAGAGGTCGGCAGAGCCGGGCACACACGAACACACGCTGGCCGTGGATAAAACACGCGTCAATATCTGTGGTAGGTATCGACAGCTGACAGACCTGGTGCCCACGGGTTACTGACGTCGAGCGGAAACTGACAGAGGGGAAGCCAGCGTTGGGCTCAATCACACCGGTGTATCCTGCTTAGGTATCTAAGTGCCAAGTGGTTTGTATTTCAAGCGACGGGAGCGTCACGGGCACATGGAATGTCGGTAGCGACCTGTCCTAAATCCGTTACGATATGGAATGGTAATTCGGGTGGAACGAGTACAGCTCCCGCCAGCCCAGGTTCGTCTGTTTCACTCGGCGAGGGGGCCGACAGAACGCGGAAATGCGACAGTCACAGCAATACACCGACACTCACAGCTGTGGCACATTGCTAGGGACGGATACAGCGTCCGGCGAGGTAAGTAGAGAGAAACTGGTGTCAGTCTGCGGTCCCACCCCGCCCGGCGGCCTGCGGGGCCGCGTATCGTACCACAGACAATCCGACTAGACACACACTCCAACCGCGGCGGACCGAGGGTTGGCGCTGGGCGGACCCGCCCAGTCGCGACCACCAGTCCATTATCGCACGACCCCAGCCGTCTGGAGACGGGTGGCGCCGCCGGACAACACGGGCCGCTCAACGAAACCGCGCTAAGTAGTGCACACATCCGTCAGTCGCGCTCACTGCGGGACATTCCCACAGCGGGGAGCCGGTCCAGCCGCCATAAATAGATCTACGCGTCATCACAGAAGATTCGCAGCGCGCCGCCGCGCCGAGATTCGTACACACAGTCACACAGGGTTCGGCAATGCCGCAGCGACAGTAGCTGCAGCGAATACTATACCACGAACGTAGCAACCACGGCCCACGAGAGCAAACACAGCAGCACCGGCAAGAATCTAGAGAATGGCATCACCAGAGATTCGACTTGTCTTTTTATACGGGAATGGGTCGCTTTCAAGCGGAACAGACGACTGGCTACGTTTCTTCACTGCACACTATTCCCAAATTTGCCCCGAACGTGAGTCACCACCTTTCCTTGTGAGAACGACGTACTCTTCTCTCGCTCCTTCTCTCAGAGCATACCCTCTCACTCACATGATCGGCGCCGGTGTCCCTTCAGTCGGCCGTGAGCCGAATATGACAGACCGGTGAGCCCCATCACAGCAGAGCCGAGATCCGTTCAGAGGCCGGCGGCGGGCCCGAGCTCGCGCGGCGGCCGGGCAGAGTGTGTCAGTGTCGCCGCCACACGCAGTGCCAGGTGACAGTGACCACAGACAAGACGACACCGCCAGCTGCGTACGTCCCTCACACTGCCGAGTCACACTAATATCACTAACAGCGCCAGCGCGGCCACACACCGGCGGGCGACGGTGGCGGCCTCAGTTGAAGAGCGGCAGCTGGTGGAAGCTGTAGCCGCGGCGGCCCTTGACGGCCAGGTAGACGAAGGCGATGTGGTAGGCGCCCGGGATGAAGCACAGCAGACCCGCCATGACGAACACAAAGCTCTGGAAGCCGGCGATCGGCACGGCGGCGATGACGATCCCCGTCACCAGCAGCACTGCCGGCGACCAGAGCGGCGCCGCTCAACGCTACTGGGGCGACACTGGTGACGATTCTATCCCCGGAACTTACCGATACGGAACAGCTACACGGACATAATTTAACTCATAGGATTATGCAATGAGCATTGGCCAAAAGTCCATTTGCAATCGTACTCACTTTGCTCATTTACTAGCGGTATCTGCTATGCCGATATTCTTATAATATGCTGAATTTCTACGCACCTTCGGAAGGTACGCAGGGTACAAATAAAACAGACTCCCACAAACTCCCGTCAATATTGTCAAAGGAGCAAGCGGTTTGTAGGGGGCGTTGTAGTATATCAAGGCAAAGTTTCTTGGGGCATTTCAATTACTCATATTCAAAGCAGAAACATCAATGGCAGAAACACCGACCTCTTTTTTGGAAGGGAAACTCCCAAGTGATCAGTTGCTCTCTATTCACTTCGAAGATGAAACGTCGATAACGAAACGTCGACCTTGTTGGGGGAGGGCAAGGGATGTCCCAATGGCCCATACCCAGTGTTAGAACTGTCATTTTCGTTCCTGGTCCAGGATGATACAATCCAACTGGAGAACCGACCTGCTTTTAGCATGGCCAACAATAGCCATTTGTAGGACTGTGCTAGCTGTTTACCGCCCCTCTGAACCCCGTCGTTCGCTCGACGCGTCACCCCGGCTAAACACTCACGGAGACCGACGACCATGAGCACGAAGGCGCAGATGACCACCTTCTTGTTGTCGCGCACTTTGGGGTGGGTCCACCAGTGGCGACCGTCGGCGGTGGGCAGGCCGTCCACCGAGCCCTGTCCTCCGATCAGCGACTCGCTGTCGTGCGAGACGCTCTGCCGGTGGAGGGGGGGGGGGAGGGGGTGAGGTGAGCAGACCCCACGGTACTGGAGTACGACTGGGATGGAATGAAACGCTCCGCCGGTGGGGGTGGGAGGGGGAGAGGTGAACAAACCCCACGGTACTGGCGCACAACTGGAATGAGAATGGGATACACTGCCACTTTAGTTACGACTACCGCAAATATGAAGTCAATATAGTTGTATATGAAATGAAAAGTTAATAATACTAATGACACCAGGACATCCCCTACTGCCTACTCACGTCATCCAACGAGTGGTTGAGCGGCTTTCCATCTGGCATGAACTGGATGGCGGGGTCGCGCAGGGCAGCCGGTGGCAGCGCCTCCCTGCCAGCTGGCGGCGGTGGGCCCCGCACCCGATACTTGTCAGCAGCATTCAGAGGCCGAGACTCCAGGGTGGAGCCGTACACGCGGATGGCGTCCTCTGGTTCCTCTTCAAACGCATCTTCAATGGTGAACCGCTTTGACTTGCCCCACCCGAAGCCTGACATACTGACAGACAGGAGCTACAGAAAAGCTGTAAGTAGAAAATGGATCATTAGAGGCAAAATAGCAATTCACAAACATACTTGTAACAGCTAACGATATGAATGATGGTAGCGTGATACCATTAAAAGTACTTTTGCCCAGGGGTGCGGAGCCGGAGCAGGCATATTTTGCCCGGAGCCGGAGCCAGAGCCGGAGCCGTAAAATAATAGGTATAGCCCGGAGCCGGAGCCGTCAAAAAGGGCGGCGACTCCGGCTCCCTTTTTTAAGAGAAAAAAAAATGATTGACCTAGTTCGGTTTGACAGTAAAAGGCAGTAAAACATGTGGTATTCAAAAGAGCCTTGTTATGCAAATACAGAAGCAACGTGAACCAATCCCTTCGTCTTTTTTCTTTCACCTGTATTTATTTGTATCGAGGATGTACTGAGTAATAGAGCCGGAGCCGTAGCCATCGGAGCCAGACCATTTTATTCAGAGCCGGAGCCGGAGCCGGAGTCGCCATGACATTTCACCCGGAGCCGGAACCGGAGTCGATTTTTTCTCCGGAGCTGGAGCCGGAGCCGTCTGATATTTCCATGGCTCCGCATCCCTGCTTTTACTTTGCCACTCAACTTCAAGCAATAAGGAAAGGATTTTTCAGCATTTAAGGTACTCTCATACTTTAAAAAGTTAATGAATTGGCATGAAAGTGGTGTCACAAGGCTCAAAGTGAGCAAGTCTAATGAATATCTACCCAATTTCCTTCAAGAATATTAACAGGTTCCATTTTTGAGATATACTAATTTGTTCTTCAGAGCCTTCCCTCACGCTGTACTTTCTATGACATATTTTTGGAAGCAATAATTTGGTATCTTGAAAGTGTGGCACTTGGCAGATAGATGCGTGCCCGTGCCCCGCAAACAACATATACCACCAGCACCACTGCTTCACAAAGATGTTAGTAAAAAATTTTGATTCGCTAGATATGCACTGGCGTCACAAATTCAGAGGGGGCATTCAAAATTCAAATGCATACAATTAGCCCCTCTGAATCTTAAAAGCTGCAACTTTGAAGGTAAATATCTCCATTTCGAAGCCTTTCATGAAGTTGTGAGTGCCCAAACCAGAAGCTAAGTGCAAGCCAGGCCCAGGGACCCCAACTTGGCTATCTCAACCCAAAACTTATGCCGAAATGGGATGGTCACTTTAATTCTTATATTTTGCCCTCCGGGCTCCGGGCTCCGCATGTACCTACTGATTGATAAACATTGAAATGTAAGCACGCATAAGCATTTCTGAATTTTGGCAACGTTACAAAATATTGTTTTATGCAAGGCAGTATAGTTTTACGTTTATCCAGAAAACCTTTGCTTTGGCCTTAGCTTGCAGGTACCTATCTGTCAGTAGGTAGTCAATGTCAACAATATTGATATTTCATCCACCAATGGTTTGATTTAGACAAGCACGAATTAAATAAAAATAAGATTGAGAGTTTAGACTCACGTGTAAATACACTAGCTATTAGCTGGGAAAACATAGACAGCGACAAACACTTGCAAATTTACAAATTTCAATTTCAATATATATGCGCCAGTTTTGAAGTACAGAGAAATCCAAATGTGACGCAGTTGATTCATTCATCGATCATATCAAAATATAATAGCAAGAATCTTACGTCAGAAAAATAAAAACAGATCTGACTTATTGTGACCGATTTCTTGAATTTTAGACCGATATTGTTGACATAAACTTGTAAACTTAATTTTATTTCCAATTTTATTTCGAAAAAATATCACGTGACATTTCTTCCGATAAGAAAGTTTTCTAGCAGACAGTATTTTTAGTCTAATGACATCACCTTAACTATTTTTGCTTTGTGAAAGCCTACTGAGAACTTGAAGTTGAAAACCTAAATGCTTAAAATGCTTCCAACAAGTTTCCAACAAAAGATTGCAGCTCGTGCGATAGGTTGGGTATATGAGTTAAAGTCAAATACAAGCCATTTCAAGTAAGAAGGGTTCGAGTGCAAGGAGGAATATCTGTAAGAATCTTATAAAATAAAAACTCAGCATATATTGATATCGGACGTTTCGTGTTCGGTTTAACACTTCATCGGCGATACTGGCGCGGCAATTCATGTTCGTAGACATACATACATGTTTTTTTACCTAATTATCACTTTCATATTCCTACTTAACCTCCACTCCGCATAATTTTCTGTTAACTACTCCTAGGCTGGAAAAATACAGACATACACCATTGAACACATTGAATACAAACATACACTGCAATAAATCATTTTCTCGTGTTTCTGGGGACTACTAGCGCGTTTTCTTGTTGAGTCCCCCTGTGACCGTTAGATGGTGCGTACCCAACAGCTCAATCCACCTTTGTTCCCTCTGTCTCCTGTACATAGTCCAGTTTTTCCAAACCTTTTCGAGCCCTACGAAACTTGCATCTTTGATGCTATGTCCATCCCCGTTAAAATGGGCGGCTACCTCCATTTCGGTCCTTTTACATCTAATGGTAGACGTAGTGCCGAAGGTAGAAGTAGTGCCGCTACTTCTGGTACACAAATCGGGCCAGCGGCAGGTGGCGATAAACAGAATGGGAGGGGTGGAGTCAGCTCAGGGGTGGACAACAGACCGGACAGTGACGGGAATGGAGCTGAAAAGGACGTTAGTGGGGCGGGTGATGGGGCTCACGCGAGTACCGGCCGGAATGCATTAGGTCAGTGCGTTACCGAGAGGGAAGCCGTTCAGATCAGTGCTGGTCCTGCACTAGATCCCGTCTCCTCTAGCGAGTCGAGACGTAGAAAGCAGACAGGGTCGGATAGAGACAAAGACAGTGCTAAAGTAACGAACCTATCGAGTAAAACCCTGTCGGCAGAACAGCTATCGCTACTTAGCAAAGGCCTAGGATTCGTACCGGTGCGTACCCAGCAGGTCACTCGGCTTATTGCAGAACTAGGGGAATGGGAACGATTAGTCAGACTCAAGGAATATTGGGCAAAGGACTCTAGAGAAAACAGTGAAAACAGCGCCGGGAGGGAGGGGGAGTCCAGAGGCAATGCACAGAACATGGCGGATCCCCTTTATGATAGACGATTCAAAAATTCACGGTGGACCCCTGAGAAGGGAAGGGATCCCTGGCTAGATTTATATATATAGAGGAGGTGAAGAGGAGCGTTCTAAATGGAGTGGCTAAACGAAAAAACAGCAATTTAAGTAAAGGGGAGGAGAATGCGATCATGGAGTTGTTAATGGATGTTAACATTGTGATCAGGCCAGCAGATAAGGGTTCCGGGGTTGTTATTCTGAACACGGAGGATTACTGGGCCAAGTTGCAGAACGAGCTGGAGGATAGCTCAACGTACAAACTTACCGAGGGGGATCAGACTAAAAAAGTCCACAAGAAAGTCAAAGATTTGGCCGACAGACTCTTCAGGCAGGGATACATAGGTAGGTACCTTCACAAGTACCTCATTCCTGACAATCCGAAACCTGGCAGCATACAAGGAAACCCAAAGTTACATAAAGATGGGGCACCCTTGAGGGTGATAATAAGTGGGCGGGGCCATTCCACTGAACGGATAGCTGAGCTTGCGGAGCGGGAGCTGAATGCCCATGTAGAAAACCAACCATCTTTTATTCGTGATACTACTGACTTCATAAACAAAATAATGGACACAAAACTGCCAGCCACAGACCGTCAACCGATTTTATTTTGCATGGATGTAAGTAAGCTATACCCAAGTGTCCCCAGAGCCGAAGGGTTAGAGGCTTGTAGAATAGCTCTCAATGAACGTCAAAATCCTAGCATTCCTACACAAGATGTGCTTGACATGATTCAGTTAGTCTTAGATAACAATAACTTTAACGTTGGCGGGTCAAAACACTACATCCAGATCAATGGCACAGCGATTGGGTCGAAACTAGGGCGTAACTATGCTTGCACGTATTTGGGGCAATGGGACACAGAACTGTTACGTCGTTCACACATCAAGCCTTTCCTGTATTTCCGGTATATAGATGACATATTTGGTGTTTGGTTGAACGGAGAGGAAAGCTTAAGAGAGTTCCATGAGTTAGCGAACAATATACACAGGCAAATTAAAGTCGACCTTCGTCACACGCAGAGTAGCATAGAATTTTTAGATGTTAGAGTAAGTGTAACAGGAGATAGTTTGAGCACAGACGTTTATACAAAACCTACAGACACGAAGGCATACCTTCACTTCTCGTCGGACCATCCGATCCACACGAAAAGTGGCATTCCTTCCGGTCTGGCTATGAGGGCTAGAAGAATATGCAGCTCAGACAGTGCATATCAACGTCAGGCTGCCGATATAGCAGACAATCTCAAACGGAGGGGTTACCCAGAAGACCAAATTAGAAAAGGTATCAGGCGGGCCGAGAAAACGTCCCGAGACAATTTGCTGAGGAAAAAGGAAGGGAGGGGACAAAAAACAGGCACCCCTTTGGTCGTTACTTTTTCGAGTCATTTACCCAATATATCCAAGATACTAAAGGAAAAGAAAGCAATTCTCATGCGATCTGAATCGCTGCGGGACACATTCAAAGACGGTTTTTTCGCATCATACAAAAGAGGGACCAACCTGAGAGACACGCTAGTTCATAAAAAGACAAGGGACTTAGGGCGGGGAAACCAAGACCCACGGGGGGACTGTAAGAAAAACTGCTGCGTGTGCCAAGTTATGTACAACCAGACAGAGAAGTTAACCGGACCAAGCAAGAATGAAGAGTGTACGTATGATAAAACAATTGGGTGTAGGTCAAGGAATGTAGTTTATGGGATTATCTGCGGGGTATGTGAATGTGTAGTATATGTTGGGGAGACCGGGGGGCAGTGGCGGCGGAAGGTATTCTAGGATAGGGTGCAAACGATATTGAAGCGCCCCTTCCCGCTGGGCGCCCCTTACCATATGTATACACGGTTGTAGTAACACAAACAGTGAAGAGACGTTTAATACGCCCTAGCACTAGGGGTGTAACCGCCCATACGGACAGTGCAATTTTACAGGCCCCAATCTAGGACCTCTCTTAACATTCATATGTTGTAAACCGCAAACCGCCCCCGATAAATGTTACACAAACTAATTTCCTCTCGCATATCGGCCATCAGGCGCCCCTTTTTGTCGCATGGAGCCTACAACGCTATAAGCCCTCATATGTTCGTGTTGGCGTTCGGAGGCTATCGCCTTCAAAGACGTCTCCATAAATGTTTCTTTTTCGTCCCACACACAGGCGCCCCTCTTTCGCATGCAGGCGCCCCTCTTCCGCATGGCGCGCTTCTCGAGTGGCTGCGCCCTCCTAGCCTTTATCGCCTGGGAAGATTATATTCGACAGGGTCGGCAGCATCTGCCATTGTTTCAGATAAGGATGCCCTCCACTCTTCAGCATATCAAAAGATACTTTTCCCACGTCATTGCCACCCTCTTCGTGTCACAAGTGCCTTTATCAGTTGCGGTGTCGCACTGCTCAGCTTTATGGCTGCCGCACCTCTTAACTTCCTGCCTCCTCTACAGATTTTCGAGGCGCCCCTTTCCATAGCTTTAGGGTGCAGCTGCCCCCCTTGCCCCCCTGCTTCCGCCGCCACTGCCGGGGGGACACTGTACGTCAGGGCGCAAAATCACTTGTCTACCATTAGATGTAAAAGGACCGAAATGGAGGTAGCCGCCCATTTTAACGGGGATGGACATAGCATCAAAGATGCAAGTTTCGTAGGGCTCGAAAAGGTTTGGAAAAACTGGACTATGTACAGGAGACAGAGGGAACAAAGGTGGATTGAGCTGTTGGGTACGCACCATCTAACGGTCACAGGGGGACTCAACAAGAAAACGCGCTAGTAGTCCCCAGAAACACGAGAAAATGATTTATTGCAGTGTATGTTTGTATTCAATGTGTTCAATGGTGTATGTCTGTATTTTTCCAGCCTAGGAGTAGTTAACAGAAAATTATGCGGAGTGGAGGTTTAGTAGGAATATGAAAGTGATAATTAGGTAAAAAAACATGTATGTATGTCTACGAACATGAATTGCCGCGCCAGTATCGCCGATGAAGTGTTAAACCGAACACGAAACGTCCGATATATGCTGAGTTTTTATTTAATTTCAACGAAAGCTGAGTACTATATGTAAGAATCTTGGTGAGGAATTAATTTAAAGATGCTTGTTATTTGTTCATTATTGCACCTTTACTGTTACCTAACGGCCACTCGGTGTAATAATAAAGTTGTTAGGTAGGTAGCTATCATTGACAATATAGGTTAGGTAGTTCTCTATATACCGTGGTACCTATTGTTACAGCTTGTTTCATGAGGCGCTTCAGCTCTGTTGCCCAAATCACATCGACAATCAAAGTCAGTATCAGTCAATGTCAATGTGATGTAGGCAGGTACCTAGTAGGCCCTACAAGGGGACGCCGGTGAAAACGGCGCCGGAGGGCATATTAGTCACGTGATATTTGGAGCTTCTCCCCATTCGTGGGGCTTCTACATCCTAAACGTCACGTGCAAATTTCACGAACCTTGATCAAATCGCCCCAGGCGCCCTGTTTTCACCGTCGTCCCTACTAGGTACCTACCTTGACCTATGATGAATTGCGGTATTCATGTAGCAGGCGTCTGGGCGGTGTTTCATGGGATGCTGCTACCACGCTGCTATCAAATTGCGCGAGCTGACGTCACACTTGCGCCGCGGTAGTGTTGGAGCAATGGGCCTGTTGATGTCAATGTTTCCATGGAAACCCAATTTGACACGTGTAAAAGCAGCGTGCTGCTATCACCGGTGAAACAGGGCCCTGATGTCTCACATGCTGACAGTGATTTGTGAAAAGAATCGGCTGAAGACTCCAGTCTTGAGATGCTTGCACAAATTTCACTTTTAAGTCTCTTATCAAATAGGTAGTCTTACAGAACAAAAAATAATATAATCTGACCTCGAACTCAGTTCGAGGATTCCAAATTTTAGGGAGAGAAATAAAGTTATCAGCATACGCAGATGATCTTACACTGATCCTGGACGGA